ACAGTTGACAATACACACATGATCGATGAGTTTTCATTTATTTATTCGAAAACGGAACTCAGTATGTGACAATAGGACGCTATATTTTCTACTTATTTTTTCATTCTCCCCTTCGCGATAATATATTTATTGCAGTGATTCATAAATTTGTTCACGAAAGGATGTCGTGTTTATCCCATCAAAATAGGCAATAAATTATTTTAAAGCTTGAGTAACATATTCTGGCCATCATAATAATGAAAGATAGTCATGTGAATAGGGTCCAGAGATATTTATTTTTAAGATACAAACATTTTTTGTTTCATTACTTCGATAAACAAATTACTGAAAATAATTTTCTTCTGCTACCGTGCATGCCTAGCATTCATTTCGAATACGTTTAAATATTCCCACTCGAATTTTTCCACCTGTATTGTATTCTAAACATATTTTGATATATCGCCATAAAAACTCTAAATATTTACATTGAAGCTCGAATTAATTGCTAAATTTCATCGTAAATAAAAAGTATATACGTACACCTCGTAGAACAAATATTGCAGTAGTCACGTTCATGTGACATTTTTTAATGTTTCCGATGAGCATACTACCACCCTAAAGTTCATTTATTACTGTTACACGTTACTTATCAATTTCACATTTTCTCACTGAAAAGCTGCTTGTTTCAAATATCACCCTGATCCAATATTTTCTTTCTATTAAATTGTTTCTAATCCATTTTTAACATTTCAAAACAATGTCCGCAGTCAAAATGACAATCAAACTATTACTTTTAACAGCAAACAAAAAATTCAAGAAACTAAGACATTAATTAATTAATTAATTTATCTATTATTGGCAAGAAAAATGTTGTCTGAAAATTATATATTGACAAATTATTAACTTATAAACTTTAAAATGTAATAAATTATTAATCATATTCGATTAATGAATTATACTACACACGATTCATAAATTAAGAATATAGTATTGTACCTATGTTTTCCATTTACATTGAGAACAATTCATTATCGCTTGTACAAATGAGGATCGAAACGAAATAAACTCCCGCCGAATCCAATTAATGGCCGCTGATTGATTGACGAATTCGAACATGTCGATTTCCAGGTCAAACCGAGCCTATTCGAGAGAGTGGGTTTCCGAAGTACAATGGCCCGCTGGATAAATTAAAAGGACTTTAATACTTGACAAATAATTCGCTCGAACTTTCCCAAGTCTTTCCGCCCTTCATTTTACGCTCACCCACACTTTTTTCTCTATTCCTCGATTCACCGAGAAGGAGATTGGCATTCGAGGCTCAATGATAAATGAGCTGCGCTGAATTGGAACGACCCTTCCTTACTATTTTCTCCTCTTAGTTTTCTCTCACTTTGCGAACTGTGTACTCCCCCCCTCCCCCAACCCGCCCCAACCGACACGCTGCTTACTTCTTCTTCGTTCACCTTAATCCATCCGCTTGGCAGTTATGCTTCACGATCGATTCGAAACTGATATGAAATACAAGATTTATAGCATTCTTTAACTGAATGCCAATACATTAGATCGTCTGGAAATCTCGTGCCGTTTCAGATTTAATAATTTCATTATCATTTTTACCTGTAATATAAAAGATTGTTTGATATACGATGAGCATACAATGTTTTTGAAACATACAGATTCCTCTCGATTATTGCCTTAAAACGAATTTACGAGGGTCTGAAGCATTTCTCCCTATAAGATTATTGTCCCGGCGCGGACCCGAGTTCGAGACGATAATCCAGAGAAGTCTGTATTTCGAATATACAGTCTATGCTAGTCAAGTATCGATATATGTATATATTTTGTGGTTTGCAGGAAATACAAGTGGAAAGTAAGAGTAACTACAAACAAATACGTTTCAGTTACACATATATATTAACCCTTTATCGTGGAGACCCTTAAATCGTTATTTAATAATTATGAGATTGATGTATACCTTGTATCTTGCTATTTTGAAGTCGAAAATGTCGATATTAAACCGACTTACTTTACTTAATTTATTTTTGAGTACGTTTACGAAAACGTAAGATCTACTTTACACCAAGGAAACTACGGATCCCTGCTGAAACAAATTAGATATTAACCGGTGACTGAATTTGACGCACTTTTAAAATGAGTGTCGCACCGGTACAGCACTGGGAATTAAAGGGTTAAGTATGTAAAAAATTACACTTATTCAAATGTAAAATTTTGCAATATTCGGTTCATTTACAGAGATTAACCTGTAAAGATAATCTTCCATTACAGTCATGAAAGAATTCCATGTCAGGAAAATCCTCTAAAGGCAGAAAAATCTGTTAGAGGTTTTTAACCAAAAGCATGAAATTGTATCTGAATGTTACAATAAATTTATCCGAAACTAAGAAATTGTAAAATGAAGTTGAAAATACATTTCCTCACAAAATATGATAGAGATTGTAAATTGTGAACCACGGATCTGCGTTCCTAAATGGCACGAACTTTCTGGACGATTCAATATATTAGCCTTTTCTTTCTTGTTTTTCTAATGTCTTTTCACGTAAGGAGTAAAAAGAATTCGTGTAATAAACGTTATTTACTTTCGAAGTAATTATCTGATTTTACATTATCTACACATATTTATACAGTATTGTATAAATAAATATGGAGGGTACCTTTTCCAATTTGATTGGTAGGTACTACGTGTAAAGATCAAATAGTTCAATATTACCAAAACACATGTATGGTAAACGAGCAATTAAAACGTACAATGAATCGAACGTTAATATATTAAATGTAAACTATTAAAATTAATTTTCAACGTATTTCAATTCGATTTTTGTTTTCACTCGTTCTACTCTAGGATCGTAAAAATAGTTGAGCAATTGTTCGAAAATTCGTCGCGCATACCTTGAATCCAACTAAAAGCGGACTTCTGTCGGTGAAACGTACAAACCGCGCGCGAAATTAATAGTAACTCCAATGTTCACAAGCGAAACCGCCAGCCACTGTGACTGGATGTACGAGCCGAAATCTCTGCGGGATCGTGATACTATTTTCTAACAACTTGTAACTTTAGTACCAAAGTTACACTCGTTAGATCATTGGACAGATATACTAGATCCGCCAAGTTGATCACGAGTTTACGTTCGAAGTATTTTGTAGAACGTACGAAGAGATTAACTTTTCACTGTTAAATCTTTCGTTGCTTCAGTAGATTTGAAGACTTACACTGACGAATAAAAGAAAGTTTAAAATTAATATTTTCGTAAATAAACCAACATCGGAAAATATTTGAGAACGTATCACTAATGTAAAACACAACAGAATTGATTAACTTTCATATATACTAAATTGATATTGTTTCTTCTTATGTTTGTAATCATAACGTCTAATCTGAAAATGTGTATATTTGTTTAATATGTACATGAACTTAAACTTTTTTAAACAATTGTAAGGTTAAATATTTTTTAACGATACTAATCTTTCTCTACTAACTGTAAGTTATAATTACTAGATACTATATTAGTAAAACTGTTTTTTTTGCAGAATGTTACTTTGGAACACATTTTATTTACTGAAAAAAATTCTTGGACAATATAAAAATAAATTTTTCATTTTTAAGGTGTTTAAGACTGATCAACATATGAATTAAAAATTGAAGACAATATAAATAAATTATTTGTAGCTTTTATCGAAAGTTGTGACTGTAGACTCTCCCCATAAACTTCTAAATTAATAGATACACCAGAAGATTGTAAGGGTTGATTGAACCTAGCAATTACGTTAGTACCTATGAATTAAATCCTCAGAGGATGTATCCTGACGACAGCTCGCTGGCACCGTTCTTGAATTCTTAAAAGCTACAGGAAGAGTTTTCGTGGATTCGAACTTACTGGGGCAATTTGTCTGGCACCTGGAACCACTGCTACTGCGGCCCTTGAGGACCACAAAATCACTGCAGAAGCGTCGCTTCTCTTCAATATACTGTTTCTTTTGAACGTATCGTGCCATAAAAAATGTCGTTCTTTAAAGTAACGTTACGTGAAAGAAATAATTCCTTTGATTAATAGAAATCATCGATACATGGATCTTTCTATGATTATGATTTACATTTTTGATAACTTCATTTCTGCAAGTACGATTGATCCTGAATTTAGACAAAATAAGACAAAAAAACAGAACACGTGGGAGACAATAGCTTATTTTCAAACAAGATAATGCACTAAATATGAAAATAACTACAACGATGGATTAAGCATTGAGAAACAAAGAAAAAATGTATGAACAAAGTATTCATCTCACTTGATCAGGCATCCGAGATATTGAAATATCTATGTTCCGTATTTTCAATATAGAGTGATTATAAGTAACGGAACATTACGCTATAAATTTATACAATTATTTATTGTTATACGAGAAATGTAAAGACTTCACAAATGAACACATTAATACTTCACAAAAGTAAGATGAAGATATTATTGCTGAATATAATAATTGAGAATAAATAAATCATAAATCATGTACAAAAAATATAACTATAAAAACATTTAAAATTTTTAAAAATTAAGTTTACAAAATCAGTCTGATATTTTTACACAATTAGATTTTCTACATTTATTATTCTAATTTATGTATTACGTTCAGAGAAATAAGAAAATCTTTTACCATATTGCAACTAAAAACTTCGTATTTCAGAATGCAATAATTGAAGTTATGCTTCTAACTTCTAAGACGCACAATTTAGAATTTGTAGTTGAAAAATTGTACACGATTGAGAAATCTTCCTCTCCAACAATCTATATAAAATTCTTTTTATTGGGACATTGATCATATTTAAAACACGTATTCTATTCTTTAACAGTAAACATTATATATTTTCAACAAAATTAAATTCATACAACAAATTTTCATATTTTGACTAATCTTATAAAATAATTGTAATGTAACAAATTGCTACAAATATTTAACTTATTTACTGAACCCTATTTGATTACAATTTTGCATTTGTACAATTTGCCGTAAATTACTAATCAATACGGGTTATTCCCATTTGGATGTTTCAAAAAATTCCATTCCTTCTGCTTTCAAACGATTCAATATAGGTCGATAAATATCTGCTGTGAATGGAAGTACTACGCCTCTTTGTTGAATCTCACCTAAAATAAGCATCGCAACAATTACCACTGTACCGAACTATACATTTCTCTATCTTTTGTTGGAAGTGCATATGTTAATGGACATTAAGTGTATCTTAAATTTTTGAATATATGCATAAAACATTAAAAATATATAAATAGTTTACAACAACAAATAGATAATAAACTATTCAAAGTGAATGTTAATATTCCATACAATATTTAGTATACAAAGGAAAGGAATAAATAATATGCAAGGTGTCATGTAACTGATGGTACAACCAGATAAGTGGGAATTCTACGTAAATATATGAGTCGAAAATATAGAATAAAATTTTTTCATCTGAGGCTTTATTTTCGAAAAAATTGGCTTTGAAAATTAATTTGAAAGTTTCAAATTGAATCGCGTGTATTCGTCATAGGAGTAAGTAGAAACGGAATGCAATAAACAGCCATGCTAGCCAAGCCCAATCAATTTCACGCGTATCTAGCAGATATACATATAAAGACGATTTTGTTGAAAATGAAATTGCAAATGAAAAATTCTTTTTCTATATTTTTGACTTATTTAGTCACATAGAATCACCACATAGCCGGTTGTACCACCAGTTATATAACACCCAGTACATTGAAATATAAATATGTGGGAATACGTTGAAAAATGTAAAAAAAATTATAAAATTAATTGAATAAATGAGCTACCATCAAGAATCATTTTGACAGCAATAGCAGCCGGATACCCAACCGTTCGCGCCATTGCAGAGTGTCCTTTCACGTCTCCGTACAACACCAAATTAATTCCTCTCGTTTCTCGTCTGTTATCAGGCCAGAGTATACCGATATCGTGTCTCAAAATCACAAGGTCGCGTTCGTTCGGCTCGTAACACAATTTTTTCGATAAATAATGTGTTAACGTATCGAGAGGAGTGTTTAATTTCAGAACCAAGTCCTCCTTAAGAAGTCCTAAATCTTCAACTACTTGTACAGCAGCGTCTGAGTTTAATACTTCTCCTAATTTTCGTTTGAGATTTTCATAAAAAATGTTATCGTTCGCCAAGCCTAGTAAATTGCATATTAGTACTCTCTGAAAACAGGAAGTTTGTTATCTTACATTAATTTGTTTATAGTTTGTTATAGTATCGGTGTAAAATTAATTTTTATATTTACGACCGTTCGATGTCGCGAGTCTTTTCGCAACATATTGAATGTAAAGAGAAAATTTGATTTAAAAGTATTAATTCAAAAAATATTTGAAAATGTATGTCGATCTATGATCCGCAGATGTGAGTTTTTGCATTGAAATGGAAGGAAGGCAATATGGAATTTCTATAACAAACGTAAAAACAAACTTTTGTATTTTTCTTTTGAAGGAATTAATTTTAAGACCTATATTTATAAGACATTTTTTACTCCTGTCGGTGAGTGTTATAAGCGTACATAGATCCTTTATTTATCACCCTCCTATATTTAATTATTTGGAATATTTGAAGTAAATATTTGAGCACTCGAACACACAGGGTAACCTATTTAAATTAATAGTACGTACCCACGTTATGTCTGGTCCATTAGGATGTAAACATGGATGAGGATTCGGGTCGATAAGTCCGAGGTATTGCAAAGTTCGTACGGTGTCACAGAATCCTTTAAATCTTAACGTGCCCCGTAACATTATATTAGCAGTATTGATTCCGTACAATTCTTTATACACTGTACTGTCACGATTTGGATAGCCTTCCAAAGCGAATCCTGGTAGAAAATCTAAGTCTTGTGCAGCGGACATTAGGTCTCCACCTGCTGGTACTTCAACCACCTCCAAAAAAAAGACATTACAAATGATTGTATTCAGATTAAAGTAGAAATAACCGTAACAAAAACAGTAATACAGTGGCTGGATACTATGGTCGTATGATTCTACTGAATCGCTAGATTCTACTGGGGTCCTTTGAGTTGATGAATTCTAGTAAATTAATATATTTCAATCGAGATATTTCCTACCACGGAAAGTGGACATTACTGAAAAGTTTTCCAAAAGTCTCTTTTAAAACAATTGTAGTGTGCATGTAAATTTATTATTCAAAGGAAACATTTAAGTACCTGAAATAATTAATCAAAATAATCGTTTCATACGGACTATAAAATAGACATAATGAAAGATAGTTACAAATGTCAATTCATTAAAAACAATTGGAGGATCATATATTGCAGCTGCTGGGACCGTCAATACGGCATATTATTCCTGGACAATTGTTTACAAAAACCAAACTAGATGTTAGCAATGGACGGAAATAATGTTAATTTCTCAAACCTATACCATTTTTTTCGTTTCTTTCGCTTGATTGACGTAACAGGGTTAAATATAATACAACAATCCCCTAATTGTTTTGAGGTGTCTAATAAGCTCAGTTCTAAATAATTATAAGATCAAAATTAAAATTCGTTTGTGTGTACGGTAAATAATTTGATAATTTATTAAATATGAACACGCACCTGCTTTTCATAATAATATTTCGCTGGTGCTAAAGTGTTTAACAACACTCCTCTTGGTGACCAACTAAATTTATACCGTAATGGATTGTCGGAATATTCTGGAGCAGGTAATCCTCCACACCAAGACACAAAAGACTGTATTTTCCCCCCAGCTTGCTTCACGCTGTCGAAACATTCTAAGGCCAATAGGTGATCGATTCCAGGATCTAATCCTATTTCATTGAGTATTGTTACATCTGCTGCTACAGCCCTAATTTAGAAGAATGATATGTCTATATTTATTCTTACCAATCTTATCACACTAACATTCCCATTGTATGTGTCTATCGCCGTATGTGCAGTTGTGATTATCAGAAACACGAGGTTGATTCAAATATAAACCGGAATCGTGTTGTGTTTAGAAGATCATCAGGGTAACCTTTCTTACAGTTACATGGAAGCATTAATATTAATTGCAGATTATCAACGCGAGTGCATTGAGAATTTTTTTTACTTCGTATCATCATAACTGAACAAAGGATACATTTGTTCGTTACGCAATGAATTATTATCCGTTTCCTCATTACAGGCAATATTATTCAATTTCCATAACGAACACTATTCGCGAATTCAAGTTTGCAAATAAGAAAAGAAGAGAAAAGGTTAAAAACGAATTTCGTCTACACCGGTAATTCTAAAAGTTTCGAGTGGCTTCGAGGCATCATTTACAATTAGATAAATCAAACAGTAGTAATATTTGTGAAATTCGAAGTAAAATTTAACTTGTCAATATAGACAACATTGACACCATTATCTAGGATCATTTCCATTTTCGCACTCGGATTCTCTTTAAGCAGGAGAGCAATAATAATTGATTTCACATCACATAGATATATCCCTTGTTTACTCATGATTATTCAAAGTAATAAAATGATCATGGACTTAGATTGACAAAGGACTGTCACGACTATTGCTACCTCGTATAACCGTTAGAAAAGTAATTCCAACATTTTCCAAAGATTACAAGTGTAATAATAAGATTTCGATTTATGTTTGAACCACCCTCGTTTTGTACAAGAGATAATGAAATAAAAACTTCTATAAAGTAATTACAGGTGTAAGCAATTGAAGGTAAAAATACATCAAGGTATCCCTATATGTCACTAATGTGACCATCGTAATCTTAACTCTGTATAGTTATAGATGTATAATCCGTATAGTTATAGTTATAGATATATGAATGACTGATATAGTTTATTTACTGCTTACAAGTTATTATATTCATATAACAAGAAATCATACTCACTCTTCGTGCAAAGCTTTCACCTCTTCGTTCATATAACTCGCAGTCACCAAATGAGTCTTAGCACTTATGCAAGCTTTTGCAATAACATGATGCAAAGAGTAAGGTAACAATGAAACCACAACGTCTGCAGATTGTACAATGTCTCTCAGAGTATCTGGTCGTTCTAGTACATTCAGAAACACGGGTTCCACCCCAGGGAATTGATTTGCTAGTACATCAGCTTCTTCCTTGAATTGAGATGCAACAATCAATCGTATATTGCTGGTTCTATGTAAGTATTCAACCAATGGGGCAGAAACATAGCCAGCACCCAGTACAATCACCTGTTTATACAAAATTAGTACGGTCTTAATAGATTATTTGATAATTACATATTATTGGTTCAGATTTTCATATTAGTTGGTAACATTTTGTAGCGAAAATGTTTGCCAAATTATATAATCGTGATGCACAAGAAGTATATTTCGTTTAATATTTAGTGAATCAGTGTCTTGCTACCACCATTTAAGAACAATAAGAACAAATATAAATATCGTCCATGAAACATTATTTAACGCTGTATGAATACTGATATTATTATTTTACCATTGTGTAATAATAATGTGGGTATTGATATTTTCATTTCACCACTTATTCCGAAACAATATGTCTTGACGTTGTCATTTTACCAGTATTCGAACGTAATGAAAGATTAACATAGAATACAATATAATTTTCATTAACATTGTCTCTTCATTATCACTTACATAATAACGGGAAAAACGATGTTAAAATATAACACGTGGAGGGTGAATGTTTTTGGCAACTACTCAGACGATAACGAACGCGTTCCTCTTTCTGAATTTTAACATTTTAAAATAAAGTACTTCTTTGAGGGGTATTAGGCAAATTTTCTGAAAACCTGGCTTAAAATATTCGGTTTTTCGAAAAGTTCGTACAGTTTTTAAAAATAGATCTATGGTTTTCATTTTGCACCATGCTTCCATATTTAACTTTTTTTTACAATTTCTTTCCATTTATCGGATAATTTTATTATAGTTGATTTTTATTCGTTTGGTTAATAAATACTTCAACACACTAAGTCCTGAATAAACGATCACTAGACGGTATAATATCTTATAAATAGGGTAAGTGCTGTAAAAATTTTCCATTCGAAATAGTGTAGTTTTATTTACGTATTGGTTTTATATAGCATGACGAACTTGTACTTCTCGAAAAGAAGAAATAATCGATATACCTATGTATAATTCGAATTCAAACACAACATACATTTGAAGCTTGGCTTGAAAATAGTATATCTACGTTCAGTAGATCAATCGCTTTATTACTTTCTCAGCAAATTGTTAATAAAGACACTAACGAAGGATGTTCGCGAAGTGTTATTTGCCCATTTTTCTGTAACTTTACTCAATTGTTTATGGGACGAACCTAAGAATATTACCGTACTTGGTTGATTTTACTTTCAGACTTTAAGAGAGAAATCACCCTTTCCCTTCTTATTCATTTTTTTTCGATATCTTTTGTGGTTAACGAATTACGAATAAATAAAATGAACTCTTCTGATAAAGACAATGGTTTCTCCCTTAAAATCTAAAAGTAACCAACTAATTACGATAATATTTTTAGGTTGGTCCTATAAACAATTGGATAGATCCAAGTATCACCGTCCAAGAGTTGAGTAATGATAGAAAAAGTACATTAAGCTAATACATTCATGTTGAACATGTGACATACTAATATGTAACATTGAATAATTTCATTTTACAGACAGAATATTTCCATACCGTTTTGTTTTGTGCTTCTTTGTTATCTGCTTTGTGTCTGCTACGCTGATTCAGTAACCTTAGCTCCTGAATATACTCAAAATTAGGAGTTAAACATCCATTCGATGCAATTATTGCATCATGCACCGCTGAACAAAACTTGTGATCCTCTAATGGTAACCTCGCGTCCGATTGGATAATATCCACCACGTATGGATACAAAAGGTTTCCGAAAAAATCCGTGGACTCCTTTGGAAGCTGAGTTGGCATGTTGTCTATCGAACACACTAGGACTCCAGGACCTTTAAAGGATTTGGTATCCTTGTTCCGGTCAGCGTCATACAGGCAAAATGGCGTGTCGATCGTTGTGCACTCGTTCATGAATCTATTAACATTACAAAATTGTGTAGGAATATTGCTTACGAGTTACATCAATTTGTACTTACATTACTATTCATAAAGGAATGCATATTATTACAGTCTTTCTAACTCTGATAATGATACAATAATTTTTATAACAAATATTCCTCAATAATATCCGGTTTAAATAGGGCCTAAGCGATTAAATATATGAAGTATGTTTAAAACGTGAATACCGCAGAAATCAGAGAATCTGCGGTAATAAAAGATATTTTCTTGTATCGTTTTCATAATCTTCTAAAGTCAGTTTGATATTTTTAAGTAGAATATTATATTTTTGTCACTTATTTATTTATTTATTAATATTTGTTATTTAATATATATTTATTTATTTACGTTACGCTATATTTACGCTATATTTTATTACTTAATTTCTACGATATTATGCATGATCACTTTGAGACGACCGAGGAAAAAAAAAAGAAATCTGGGAAACATATATGATTCGTCCACTCTGTGTGACAGTTACGAAAAGTGATTTACAATTTACCTTATATGAATTTTTGGACGCTAATTGAACCGTATTTAACGTCAGATATTCCATCTGATCCTATACATATAACGGCGTATAGATAGGTGTACGTGTGTTTACTAATCAATTAAAGGTTGAATCCTCGAATCGGATCATATTGTCATCTAAGATGAAAAAATGTGAATATCGTGATCCACATGAATGCAGTAATACTCATGACTAATTAGTATCGTAACCCATTGATGATGATCCATAAATTATAATTCCTGTAAATAGTATGACACACACGTTGCAGTTTTGCAGAATTAATGAAAGTTCATGTAGACGGTATAGTCCACAAGGTTATTCGATCATTATTAAACATCAACGTGTGTGGTTTGATTCACGTTTATAACAAAAAAAAGTAACAAGCTTCGTTGACGACATAGCTCACTCGTGGACATCATAATTAATAAAACTGCATATAAACCATGTCCGACCAATGCGTTATAAATTAATGACACGGTTGCTTTATCATAATTAATGAAATGCCATAAAAATGATATGCCTCATCAATGACAATTTTATGGCAATTCAGAAGCTTTAAAATTAGTATAGTTTACTGGTGACTACCCTGCCGTGATAGATACTAAAATAAACATCACACCCAACGATAGGTCACCCTACTGTTTGGCCAATTATCTTCACAGTAAAGGATTTCAGTCGTATTGAAGGTGAAGAAAGATAAATTCAAAAAACTATTAGTGTTGATAATGTTGATACAGTATAAACAATAAATTATATTATTCTTACTCGATACTGCCTCCAGGATCAGCTGATATATCACAGATAGCTAGCATTCTGTGAGGCAACGCAGGAGCACCGACACTCGTGGGTAACCAAGGAGTATGAGCTGGTCTTAGTAAATATTTAGCATCTGGTAATGTTAGTAATTTTGGCGAGTCAATTGCCCAATATATACCATTAATAATCACAGACGCATATGGCGCAATCTTTTTGCTGAAAGTGGAAATATATCTCTCAGGATGCTTATCATATTCGTCAGAATCAAAACCACCTCCTTCTTTCCTTTCTAGATGATGCCTTCGTCTTACCTCGCACCCATACACCTTTGTCGTATCTAAAATATGTAATACTTATGATATTTAAATATTGTAACTAGAAATAAAGTTTATATGAGTCCAGGCACAAATATACTGATGTCGAGTCAAAAAGGATTCGATTTGGCATGGCTCTTATGTATCAAATAAACTGTCAGTCGATTTTCTCGAAAACGAAACTTGATAGACAAAATTTTATTATACATATATCTTCTATTAATATCACAAGATATCAACTTCTTATTAATAAACAATCATTTTAATTATACTAGGATAAACGCACCATTGAATGACCACTTAATAGATTTTGTAACAATTTGAAGTCGAATTGTAAATGATAATAGTATTAATAGATATTTGGCACATGCAAATTCGTTTCTTTAATATCAATTCCTTTTTATAACGTATGGATTTCAATTTAAAAAATTGGAAAAATGTAATTAATTAAATTAAAAAAAAAATACAGATTTCACCAGTGAATAAACGATATGTAAATCAACATTTCTAACTAGTGGTGCAAAAATTGTTTGAATATCAAACAAGGAATTGAAAAAAAACAATATTTAATCATTTGCTTATTTTAATAACATAATTTACTTGCTTTTATGTATAATGTTCATTCACTGGTTCGTGTTCATTTACTTCTGCATCCACCCTATTCAACAAAGAATAGGATTCTTAAATTTCTTTGTCGATGATGTAATAAAAAATTTACGAGTGTTTGGAAATTCACTTACCGCCGTGTTCAGCGACTTTCTTCAACATTTCTGGAGGTACGTATTCATGTGGAAGTTCCTGGAAGACCTCTTGACCACCTTGGCTAACATTACCGCTGCCAGTGAAAATAAAGGTCAACGGCCCAATGGATCTCGGCATGGCACCTAGTGCTATTTCGTACCCTGCATCTCGTATTGATTGTCGCGCCATTGCTGAGTCCCTATAATTATGTGCTGGTCCAATGTGCTAAACAAAAATATTAATATTAATATTTCCGCTCTAGCTTAAATATTTCAATTTGAATTCGACTATGAGAATTTAAATTTATTGTAAATCTGAGACTGACTTCGAATACATTTGAATGTAAATCAAACAGCCGAAATATCTAATTATAATTTGAATATAATTGTTGAAACATCATTTCAATTTAATCATATCATCCTTTTGTAATATCGTAGTATTTGTTCAACTTGTTTATAATAATTCATTATTCGCAGCACTTTTGAAATTTCAGAAAATTTAATCAAAGCAAAGATTAATAAAATAGTGTGTAGACGTAAAATAATACGCACCAGACTGATCCTATCATTGGCATCGTAACGACGGTGATTATCCAATTCATGAAAAATGTATCCTTTCAAAATCCAGGAATTGGTTTATTTTTAAATTAAATTTTTTGAAATTTTTCAAGTGCTGAAAGTCACAAAACATTTTATATTACCATCAATTTTAATTTGAATTTGACTGGTGGACTTAGCTCTTGGAATTTATAGTTTTAAAATTCGAATATGGGTGTAACCATTTGACATTAAATTGGAACTCGAATTAGACGATTTGGAATATGATTTTGAATTTGATCGTCGAAACGAAGTTGAACTCACCATAAATGGTGTGTGGTGTCCAAGAGCCAGCAATCTCAATCCGAGTCCGTGTAATATATTCACCATGCCAGCTACGCCAGCGTACTTCCCAAAAGCTACCACCCTCTGTCCATGAACGTCTGTTAATTTTTCATAATCCAACAGACGTATATTTTTCTCCAAAATGGCGTCCAGAAGAGGCATATTACTTTCCTGGGCCTTAATAGTATGAGAAAAGAGGCAATAGGTTTTATTAGATATAAGCTGATCGACGGGGACCTGCTTCACCCCAAAAATCACTGAGGCAGTGCTAATGTCTTCTTGTAATATGGCGCCAGCAGCTTGATATGATTGTGCAGGATAAGCTCGTCTGTTACTTGGCTGCACAATCACCTTCACCCCAGCTCTAATTAATCGACGAACATTCGCAGGCGCTAAAGGTGCTCTTCGTTCCCATACTGACTGATCCTCCCTTCTGATCGCGATTACCTTACCTTTCAAGGTCTGCAAAAAGTAATTTGAATTGACTAAAAACATTTTAATAGATCAATTTCGTAAGTCTGTGTACATCAAACTACTAAGTTTTGATCAGTGCATTGTATTTAGCACTTTGTTGATATTTGAAATAGATTGGAGCATTTAAATCTTAGATTTGAATTCCAATGTAACCGTTGAAAGTTGAATTTACTTTTGATCATTAACAATTGAATTGAATTACTTTCTAACTTCGGATTTAAATTTACATTCGAACTTAACTGTTAGTAGACGAATTTATATTTTACGTTGAAATTTGAAAGACTGAAAAAAATCAGATAGTACTTTTTCACTTCTAATCAAGCGCAAGGAATCATCACTCTAGACAATGGATGTTTTCATCAAAGGAAACATGTCACAGAAGTTACTGTCACAATTTAAATTTAGTTTAAAGTTCATTGAATTTGATCATACAAAATTACATGTATTCATACGTATTGCCGCAAAAATTTGAATTTTAGCATAAAAATTTTAGTTTCATTTTAAATTTCACTTTTATAATGTAAATTTTAATTTAGTAGATGTACAATTCGACGTTCACTTTTAACTTTTATATTTAACATTTAACTGTAACCACTGAAATGTATATTTGATTATACAGCTTTTAATTTCCATTCTAATGTGCGAGTTGTGATTTAAATTAGAAAAAAACTGTTAACACATAGAATTACATTTAAATTACATTATACAAATTTAATCTTGAACTTGAACTTGACTGTTGATATTTAAATTTAAATTTAATTATCATAATTTTAATTAAAATATTGTAACTTTAATTTCTTAATTTTAAATAAAATGTAAATCCTTTTGTAATCAAACATTCAATGTGAAAGACATTTATTTAGTTTAATTTCTATATTTACAGACGTGTTGTACATACTGTTGGCAGAGAACGTGTACTGAATTCACACTTGTGTAATCGCAAAATCCTCATAGTATCTTCATTCGATCGAATAGAATGTTTTAAAAGAAAGGGTTGGTTTGTAAGATAAAGGTTTTAATAATCACAATGTTAGGTAAAATACACAGTAAAGTAACAAGAAGCTGCCATACGATGGTGCAATGCGCTTACTTCTATTTTGATTTGACGTTTCTGTATTGCAGTCTTGATACTTCGTAGGTCAACGGGGTCAATGCAAAAGTATTACTACATCACTGATAAACTCAAAGCCATTTAATTATCGGAAAGATTCGACTTTCTTTAGCCACGTGACTTCGATCGCTATAAACAATCACTGATTCATATTCGAACGCCATATTACTTATGAATCTATATTATAAACAATTATTTGAGTACGGATTGTAACTGATAATTGTCGGAACAAAATGAAGTATTTATTCCAAATGCATACAGTATTTTTTTTAAACTCTCGAGTAATTCCGTTCGAGATAATCGAAAATTTAAAAATTGTGGAACTGTTTCTCATCAGAATAAGTGATGTTTTTTACGCTCGCTTCGTCCCTTAACTCTATCTCGAAACAGAGCGGGATAGAATAATAACAAACCCATAGGACAGGTTCCAAGACTTCGAAGCGATGTCGAACAGTATATGGGTGGTAACTACAAATTTTATTATATTTTTAGGAATATTTCACCAATAAATTAATGAGAATAAGAAAATGAAAAACCATTTTTCTTGACTTAATACTTACGTAAACAGGATTTCAAAAATTAATTTATCATTATTGCTGCAATTGTAGTAACGACGGAACTTATTTGAGTGTTAAGTATACAATCACGTACAGATTGTGTAACGTAAACAAGTATTGCAATAGTTCAGCAAAAGTAAAGAATTACATTAAAAATCTTTTCGATACAAATAAAATTCCTAAATAAAAATCCAAATTCAATTGTAAAGTAAATTAACAATTTATACTTAATTATATCTGAATAACTTTTACTTTTCGTACCCGACTTTTCAATATCAAATTGAGTTGCATTTCTTCTTCTTTAAGCTATTAACAATTAATTTGTATAAATACAAATTACATTCAGTGATACTTTCATTTTTCATACGTTGGTTGTAAAATGATTAAAATAATAAAATACATGTCACAATAAATAAGGTTCAATATTGTTCGCATATTTTAATGTGTTGTCCCATTTTCATTAAGAAGACCTCACTAAATTTTTAGTAAAAGTTTGAGATTCAGTTATCTCAGTATTAATTAAGAAACGAATACATTACATACATATATGTATGTATAGTATCGGTTTGAAATTTTTGATAAGGAACGTAGGTATTTGATAGATCTCTGATCGAGATTATTAGAAATATGTACCAGAAACTGAAAATTTACGAATCTTGGCTTTCTTACCGTAGTTTTCAATAACACAATAAATTACAAATTATTTTATTATCCCTCAGTCGGCGGATACAGGGTCATTTTGATCCAATGACGACAGCCACTATTATATTTGTCATAGGACACAAAGTGCTCACTCAAAGACATTAGACAATGATGCTGAAATATTATTTGTATTTGATTATTCTACTATTTATGCACCTTCATTATTTTTACTGTATTATTACATTGAGAATTAGATTGAGAAAAAGACGTTTGTAAGGGTTCGAAAAACTAACAATTATTTTATGTATCAATTTTCCTGTAACATAATAAATACTGTATGCGCACACATTTTATACAATTTTGTCTATAATTTCATCTTCGGAATTATGAGTAACGAAATTTTCGATGTAGGTCAAAGTATAATCCCCAAACCTGTTATAACAATATAATTTGTCATTAGAATATAAACTAGTAAAATCTATTGATGTGTATATTTATCTCCATTGTAACATATTGAAGCCTTTATCCCAGTTTACGAATTTAAAGATAATTTTCTATTCATTGTAATACTTTCTCGTATAATAAGTTTGTTACAATATAAAAATAATTTGAACACTTTAAAAAAATGCTACCTGTAACAATATCTCTTTTAATACTAAAAATATTTTTTCTTAGATATAATGTTGAAGTAATACTGATTAGAAAATTGAAGTGGTATTAAAATATTTATTACATAACTTAGAGAAATTATGTATGCAAGGTACAAGTCATACTTTCTTATTTATGGATTACGTTATAGTATCTGTAGGGTACAAATAGTAAAAGATTGTTAAAATAATTAAGATTTATTAACTATTTCTTAATCAATTTAGTTTATTATCTTACAAATTCGTGTGTTATAGTACACAAAATAAATATTGTATTGAATCAATTGCACTAATATTAATTAGATTGTGTCTTGATAGATAAATACATTTTATTTTTTATTGTCTGCTTGGTTGGATTAATCTTTTTTAGTATTTGAGTCATTACATTAACTAACTGTTCAGAAGTAAGACCAGTTTTTTTGGACTTAAATTTCTGCAAAAGTTCAGTCGTTGTCATTGGTTTACGCATGAGATAACGTCTTACTGCATCTTCGGTGATTCCAGATTCACTAGAATAAAAGGATACAATTTTTTCAATATTTGGTTATTATAAATTACGCATAATTATAACAAAACGCATAAATATAAATATAAAATGTACGAATTTATGTATCAATCAAAATAGCGTCAATTTTGCAATCTAATATATCGAAACTTTCTTAAAGTATAATAGAATGTTTACTAAACATTTTAAAATATTCATTATTTTTTTTTATATAAAGGAACTTCTACAAACAAATAGGAATAAATTTTTCTTCTGTTCCAATTACTGAAAAACAAATTACAATTAATTTAAAAATGGAAAGGTTGAGTTTAATAATTTCTCTCGTAAATACCAATATACATAATAGATAAAAGTGTTAAAAAATGAAAAAATTCATCAGTAGTTTATGACAACAAAAAATAATTTCTTTAAAAACTACCACATTTTGACAAAAGTATAAATAGTTAACATGCATACGATTTATCAGATTCGTGTTTTTCTTGTGCACTAGCACACCACTTTTAGCTGTCCTGTGACTGTGTATTGATAAAAATAAAATAGTCTAATTATAAAAATAATTAAATTTACATATTGACACTTTCACCAAGATGTTTATTAACAGACTTTTTGGTGTTAATCCTTAGTGGCAAGGACCACATTTGACTATACAAAAATTAAAAATTGTAATGGTAAAACTGTATAACTGTGAAACTATATTGGTTCAATAATTTACCACTCAGAATGAAAAATTTATCAATTACCTCTTATCTACGACTCAATAGTTCTAAGAAGTTCATTGAAGAATAAAGTAAAATGTTAAAAGTAATCAAAAGACATACCTAGCTCCTGGTATATAAGAAGTTACTGGCACTAAATTGAAATTATCCAATTTCAATTTTTTTGCTTGTGACAAATCTGGAGAACCAGCTTGCTTTCTCTTTAATGGGTCTGACATTCCTGCCGTAACAGGTGTGGGTGTTGCAGACCTTGAACTATGTGCACTATTTGATTTTTTATTATCTTTTTCTTTTATAGTATCAGATTCAGACCCTGAATCACTAGAAAAGTCACTAGACGAATCCTTCCCCAAAGGCTTTTTCTGATCTTTTTTCTTAGACTGCTTTTTCTTTTTCTTCTTGTCTTTTTTCTTCTCAGAATCTTTACTAGCTTTATCCTTATCCTAAAAGAATAAAATCAAAGAAGCAGTAGTTTTTAGTCTTAACTAACAATATAAATAATTTTATTCCTTTTGTTCATTACCTTTACCTTCTCTTCTTTTTCTTTATTTTCATCTTCTTCATCTTTGTCTTCATTGCCATCTTTTTTGTCAGTCTGCTCTTCATCATCTTCCTCTTCGTCAGATGCAAGCAATTTTCTTAATGCATCTTCTTCTGCAACAGACTTAATTTCTTTTTGCTGTTCCAATTCTGATCCAGAATCCGAGGAATCAGATATGTAATCACACTCTCTGCCTTCTTCATCACCATCATCACTTTCTTCAAACGCTTCATCGTCCGATGCTTTTTGTTTCCGTTTCTTCTTCTGAGGAACAACTAATATAAATACTTACTTTGTATTAAATAACTCAATTAAGTAGAAAAATGTAAAAAGAAAAACTTATTGATCCGTTAAGTTCGCAAATCAGAGAAATTCGGTCGAGATGTGCCAACTATGCTTATGCTGTCGAACAATGCTATTTCTTGTGTTTGTAGCAGTAAATTGTAATTGTTACGAATTTGTGAAAATACTTAGGTGTTTATAATATTAAAACAAAAAAACCTTATCGACCAAAACCGTAACATATGTATTTAGACACGGAATGTGAGCAGCACGATCGCTCTACGCGGCACTCAAATGATTATAGTAAGTACTAACTAAGAATTTATTTTTTTCATAACTATAATTACCATTTTCTAAAAACTTATACATATTTTGTGTAAATATAAGTATAAAAACAACAAAAGGATATTCATAAAGCTCACCCTTGCCTTTCTTCTTCTTCTTCGAATCCTCTTCATCCGCAGAGGTTTTCTTAGTTTCCTCATCATCACTAAGCGAGTCATCATCACTGTCCATCCACTCATCCATCTCAGATATTTTTAAATCCTTCTCTTTTTTACCTGGCCTTTTACCCTTCCCACCTTCCATCATTTCTTCATCATCTGCACCTTCTTCGTCATTTCTAAGTCTCTTTCGCAACATCAGTGAAAAATAATTCATTACTTTATTTCTACGACTAAATTCCTGCTCTGCTTCTTCTGCACTCAATGCTTTATACCTCTGAATGGGTTGGAAATTATACCTAAACAACCAAATTGTTTATCTATTCATAATTGTCTGTGAATACTATTTTAACACTTAGCACTCCATTGGTTCCGCTGTGGAGACAATACTCATATCTTTCACAGATGCTCGCAGTGCTAAGGGTTAATAATATCTAATAATGATCTTTAGAAAGTGAAATTATCTTACCACTCATGCAATGGAAAAGCTTCTATGGCACCATCAGCAGCATGTGTGAAAACATAATAAGCAGCATTTTCACTTACTCCTCCTTCTCTAATACCTTTAAACTTCTTTCCTGTTTTGCCACCAGACTTAAGAATCCATGGTTGATCCTCTGGCTTATATTTTCTACTAGTAATACCAAACTTTTTTCTTCTGGCTTCTTCTCTTGCATCTCGTCCAAATTCAGATCCAGCTCCAAATTTTGGCATTTCTTCCTCTACTCCTTTATATTCTTTCATGTTGTTTTCACGCTCCATCTTTACTTGTGTCCATTTTGAAAAATCAACATTTAATGTTGCATTAAAACGCATTACATTGTGCTTCTTTTTGTTATTTCTGAAATAATACAATATTGTGTTTGAGGAAGTCTTGTGAAAGAATTTGTGAATAGATAATGTTACATACTTTGGTACTCGGATGCTATATTCTTGTATGGATGGTGTAACTGCAACCTACGATATGAAAAATTCAATAAGTTACTTTCAGATACTTTGAAATATAAATACTGTTACAATAGAAAAATGAATGCTCTAAACAATAACTTATTTTATAGAATAACTATATTCAATAATTATAACTTTTTAAACTTCATACCTTTGGAGCTGCAGGTGAAGTCATTTTATTTGAGACGAATGCGATTACCTAATTGTTTCAAAATTAAAATATGAAAAGATCTCCTAAAACTTAATACTCACGTCACAAGCTGTGTGACTAGCAGTATAAGTATACTTAAAAGTTATACCTATGCTATATTCACGTATACAGACGTATACGTTGGAGTACGTCACTGAATCACTGAACAAAGCAAATAAACGTCATAACTACATAGTCATAACCAATAACCGTCATAACCAAAGAATTGCTATTGGTTGCCATGGGTAGCTATTTATAGGCATGAAATGTTCGAAGTTTTGTAGAGGTCTAGGAGTCTTGTGTCGCGCAGATAAACCACGCGCGCTTGCACATCGTGTGGCGCTCATTGGTACCAATTATCCTAATACCATATATATACAGGGTGTTCGACAACTAGTGGGAAAAAATTTAAGGGGTGATTCTTTGAGGCAAATTAAGACGAAAATCAAGAATAACGAAATTGCGAAAAATGCTTCGTTTGTTAGTTATAAGCGTTTAAAAATTGACCGAAATCATGGCAATCCGCGCGCACGGAGTGTCAGCGGATCGCGGCTCAACAGGGGCGTACAGTCACTTTAAAGACTCAACGACGTGCAGGAACAGTCGGTAGAACAGCTGTTTACTTACCTCGTAGAAGATGTCGATAACTTGTGCCCGCGGTACTTGAGTCGAATCCATTTGTATCGCATTAACTCTGATTACTCGATAAAATTCGCAAGAAATGTAAATATCTTCTTACGAATATTATCGAGTAGAGAGGGTTAATGTCCCCTCTAGTTGTCACGTATCACAATTGTCCTGTCCACGAGTATCCATGAAATTAATCCGCACACGCACGTACACCACAGAAGTCCGCGAAAAGTGTCCACACACACTGAGCCATTGTCCCGTCCGCGAAAAATGTCCATACACACTGCGCGATTGTCCCGACCGCGAAAAATGTTCACACACTGCGCGATTAAGTAGACCCGCGAGCTGTTCCTCCGTTGGGTTTAACACTCTATAGGTTACACAAAACTAACACTCAAAATAATTAATTTAAAACTATTTAACACTAACTTTTATACTAATTTTTAACACGATATAATTAATAAAACTTACAATATTTAATAAAACCTGCAATAATGAATAAAACCTACAATATTTATTAAAACCTGCAATAATGAATAAAATCTACAATATTTAATAAAACTTGCAATAATTAATAAAATCTACAATACTTAATAAAACCTACAATAATTAATAAAACTTACAATAATTAATTTGCACTATTTATAACGACGACATACGCGACACTACTAAATAATCACTACGTAATCGCTAAATAAACTAAAACTTAGTTTTCCGAAGATGAACTCTATTTGCTCGTAGAATGCAAAGGGCACCGTTCGGAAAGGACGACTGATATTGTTGAACTGATCCTCCCTCGTTAGGATCGATGTGGCGTAATAGGTCGATCCCCACTCTTTCATGGTCAATACTTTTTGGGAAGGAAAAACTGCATGGGAAAGTGTCTTGGAGGTCGCGTTTCTTTTCGTATATTCTTAGAGCAACATCTGTATTTTTTTCTCATACACCACTCGGGGCCTCGAGGCTACTTGGCCACGATGCCGAGGGAGCGCGCGTCTGGACATTATAAAACTGCCTCTTGTCTTCTGCAGGACGACCACCCGCCGATTTCCTGTAACGTCTTACTGCCATCGACGAAGACCTTGCCTATTGTGTTTTCGGCCGTCCCTCTAGACATTAACTTGTAAAAAGAACTTTCAACCTCGAATTCCAATTCCATGTTAGAAATGGTTCATATTACACCGAATGTATGTGTTTAACAATTTTATTTATTTTAGTTTCTTAGTTTCTTCATGCATCGTAATGAAGGTGCGGCAAATTTCATCTTAGTTTCATTCTAATATCATTATACGTTTTGTATGATCCATGTTAATTGCATATTATTTTTTTGCGGAAACAAGAACCTCAAACACTTGGAGTAAGATCGAAGTGGTAATAAAATGTGCAATGCACATAAAACATACAGTAAGTCCATATTCAATATTTCAGGAATAAACAGCGGCGCGCTCCGTCTCAGGTAGCAAGCCGCCTTCGTCGGTCGACCGTAAGCGGCTGGTGTCATTCATACCTGAATGACTTTACATTTAGGGGGTGACTGTGTGGACGAGCTTGTCCTCCGTCGCGGGGTGCCGAACGATGTTTTTAAACGAGTGCATGCGTTAATTGCTTATCGTTCGAAGCTTCGCTCGATAGGATAATATCTTTATTCCTGAAATATTAAATATTGACTTACTGTATGTTTTATGTGCATTGCACATTTTATTACCACTTCGATCTTACTCCAAGTGTTTGAGGTTCTTGTTTCCGCAAAAAAATAATATGCAATTAACATGGATCATACAAAACGTATAATGATATTAGAATGAAACTAAGATGAAATTTGCCGCACCTTCATTACGATGCATGAAGAAACTAAGAAACTAAAATAAATAAAATTGTTAAACACATACATTCGGTGTAATATGAACCATTTCTAACATGGAATTGGAATTCGAGGTTGAAAGTTCTTTTTACAAGTTAATGTCTAGAGGGACGGCCGAAAACACAATAGGCAAGGTCTTCGTCGATGGCAGTAAGACGTTACAGGAAATCGGCGGGTGGTCGTCCTGCAGAAGACAAGAGGCAGTTTTATAATGTCCAGACGCGCGCTCCCTCGGCATCGTGGCCAAGTAGCCTCGAGGCCCCGAGTGGTGTATGAGAAAAAAATACAGATGTTGCTCTAAGAATATACGAAAAGAAACGCGACCTCCAAGACACTTTCCCATGCAGTTTTTCCTTCCCAAAAAGTATTGACCATGAAAGAGTGGGGATCGACCTATTACGCCACATCGATCCTAACGAGGGAGGATCAGTTCAACAATATCAGTCGTCCTTTCCGAACGGTGCCCTTTGCATTCTACGAGCAAATAGAGTTCATCTTCGGAAAACTAAGTTTTAGTTTATTTAGCGATTACGTAGTGATTATTTAGTAGTGTCGCGTATGTCGTCGTTATAAATAGTGCAAATTAATTATTGTAAGTCTTATTAATTATTGTAGGTTTTATTAAGTATTGTAGATTTGATTAATTATTGCAAGTTTTATTAAATATTGTAGATTTTATTCATTATTGCAGGTTTTAATAAATATTGTAGGTTTTATTCATTATTGCAGGTATTATTAAATATTGTAGGTTTTATTAATTATATCGTGTTAAAAATTAGTATAAAAGTTAGTGTTAAATAGTTTTAAATTAATTATTTTGAGTGTTAGTTTTGTGTAACCTATAGAGTGTTAAACCCAACGGAGGAACAGCTCGCGGGTCTACTTAATCGCGCAGTGTGTGAACATTTTTCGCGGTCGGGACAATCGCGCAGTGTGTATGGACATTTTTCGCGGACGGGACAATGGCTCAGTGTGTGTGGACACTTTTCGCGGACTTCTGTGGTGTACGTGCGTGTGCGGATTAATTTCATGGATACTCGTGGACAGGACAATTGTGATACGTGACAACTAGAGGGGGCATTAACCCTCTCTACTCGATAATATTCGTAAGAAGATATTTACATTTCTTGCGAATTTTATCGAGTAATCAGAGTTAATGCGATACAAATGGATTCGACTCAAATACCGCGGGCACAAGTTATCGACATCTTCTACGAGGTAAGTAAACAGCTGTTCTACCGACTGTTCCTGCACGTCGTTGAGTCTTTAAAGTGACTGTACGCCCCTGTTGAGCCGTGATCCGCTGACACTCCGTGCGCGCGGATTGCCATGATTTCGGTCAATTTTTAAACTCTTATAACTAACAAACGAAGCATTTTTCGCAATTTCGTTATTCTTGATTTTCGTCTTATTTTGCCTCATAGAATCACCCCTTAAATTTTTTCCCACTAGTTGTCGAACACCCTGTATATATATACGTGTATCCAAATTTATATATATATAATAAATCAAAATAAAACGCAAACAATAAAAATTAATCAAAATAAAACACAATTGATTAAAAGAAATCAAAATAAAAGAAGGAGCGAACATTTGGTCTGCAGTCCGCCACATGCGCTCGGTAACCTGGGACCCATCCGCGCCGGGCCTTACCGGGGCGCGCTGACTCGTAGACAATACGGCTATAAACTATAAACCCTACCGTTGAGAGACTCGAAGCTTTGTCGCGGTCAACTCGCACCGTGACCACGTGCGCGATATTTTATTGACGTCCGCTTCACCCTGAAGGAGAGGTTTTCCACCACCACGTCACTTGGAAAAACCGAGAAATTTGCTTTCCCCTTCAGGGCATAACCAATAAGGAAGCGAGGTTTGGTAACGCCTTCAGCGAATTTAGAGGAAGCGACGAGACACGAAAATCAGACTTAAACCAGAACTCACCCGGTGAACATCAGACACACACAGACACGCACACAAACACACAACTTGTAAATACAGTCATTACGAAACAATCTAAGTGTGCTTTATTTTCGGTTTCGAAATTCTAAAGATCGTTTAACGGTTCGGCAATTAAGTGCGAACATTGCACGACCTAACAAGCGCCAATGGTCGGTGATGCTACTGCCAAAGAAAGGAGATTAGAACTTATTAATCGAGTTCGGATAAGAGAGGGAGGACTCATTGAACACCACTGGTCACCAAGTTATAGTGGACAAAAAAAAAACGAACCTCTGAGTCGAGTTCGGATAATAGAGAGGACCCCTTGAACCCCCCTTGACCATTGTCCACCATTTGGATTGAGTCCACTAGAGTGGACTGAGGATTTTTCATTGCGCGCTCGTATTTATGGACTCACGGCGGCTGCGAGCTTGTGCGCACTGGTGCGCGGACAAGTGCGCGAAAATTGAGTGCACTGGAAACTCGAACGCGCCAAAAATTATTTCTCGATTAATTTATTATTTCTAATAAGGTAATTGTTATAACAATTACCTCTCTGAGGAATATTGTTAAACATTCTGTCAGCTGTCTTATAATGCAAATTGTTATTGTTTATAACAAATATAAATCGAAATATACAGAAACTTTCAAGATATGAACCGTGTAATGTACTTTTACA